TATTAAGATTCATATTTGGTGGTGGCATTCGCTTCCTAGTCATATGTAAAGATGATATTCTTATGTGTATTTGTAATTATAATTTTCTTAAAATGTCCATGTTGATTAAACAACAAACAAAATAAATCTTACAGGGGATTTTTCTATCCAACACGTAAAACAAAGTATAAAATACGATACATTTTCCAATAACAGTATTGGAAAGTTATAGGGGTGTCTAGGCAACGTTACAATTCCTGGGTTTACCTGAGAATTTTCAATTAAAACCGCTAGTCAGCGCCTTGCAGGGATTACATGGCTCAGGAATTACTGTCTTCTACTAACATGGATATCATTATTTTTATATACACATATACCTTATTTTTAGGGGCGAAAATGATTTAATTACTCCTCCCGCCTTAGGTGAGGCGAGAGGAGGAGAGACTAAAACCTACCTTGTCCCTACTTTTGCTTCGAGCTGGAGCCCCGGCAACCCGTTAAGTTATTCGCGGCTCCAGGATTACTGAGACCTACGATAATATTCAAGGATAAAAACGCGTCTTGGGAAACGATAATATCACCTATTTTTCATTTTCCCGTAAAAGGATCGCAAAGAAACGAACCATGTTGAAATACAGTGACAAATAACATCGTTCCAACATGTTTATAAGTTGCAGTCGCAGAAAATTCTCAAGTTTTCACCTCCTCGTAGTGCGCGGCGATATCTTAGCGGGAGCAAGTAATGGAGCGTACACCCAACAGATTTATGGACACACTACGTTAAACCACTTTGGAGTTGAGGGCAGAACATTTTGTGCCGACTGTACTGTGTTAGTTTTTGTTATGGTAGTTATTTGTTATGGGTTATGTGAACATCTATTTTATGTAATAATCTTAGACCAGAATCACAAGTTACATATAAAATGAAAGTACTTAATATTAGTACACAAGTGTGACAAGATATCGCGCTCTCATCTCACCTTAATTATACGAATTCGCAACAACATAAATAAACAAAACACTGTCTTACAATCTGAACACAAACCACATGTTAATGAAACAACAAATTCCACTGAAACAATGCTATATCCCAGCTAATGTTATGATAGACTGCCTCGTTGGCCGAGTGGTCGCAAGCGCGACTGTCGGGCAAGGGGTCTCGGGTTCGATTCCCGGGTCGGGCAAATTTACTGGCTTTTAAAAAAATCTCAGTAGTAGCACGGAGTCTGGAATTGTGCCCGGTATATGGCAATAGGCTCACCCCCTATTACATGGGACTCATAGCATAAATAGTGAAAAGTGGGTGTCACATTGTACAGTGGCATAATGTGCACCACTGCCTACCCCTTCGGGGATAAAAGGCGTGA